AATTTCTACCTTCCCAAACACCTAGAGTCTCAAGAATGGATAAAAAAGGTGGGGGCTTTGAAACCAATTGAGGGACACGCAACACTCTCCGAAGATCTTACTGCAAAGGAGGAAAACAAGTTGCAAAGTTCACTCACAGTTATGCTTTGACTTGACAGCTGTCAAAGCCAGGTTTAAAAAGACACACTCTATTTGGAACCTCTCTGGATTAGGGTTAAGGTTGATACTGCTCTGGTTCAGGGTTGATTCCTACTGTACTTTGATAGTAGGAGTCCTGCAGGACATTGCCAAGGCGAGGCTTCCCATTTTCAGACTTGTAGAACTACACACCCCAGCAATTGCACAAGTCCAACTAAAATAATAATACATTATTATTAGGGAAATAAATTAGGGAAATTGTGCACATTTGGAGTGCAAAACTATAATTTTTAAAAAAAATTCTAAGGACAGGCTTTTCAATGTGCCACTTGAGTAGTTTGGAGAAACTGTTGACAGTCTGGATAGGATTGCTGAGAGAGGCAAACGATATTTTTGTGTTTTGCCGATCTTGCCAAATGCCTTGCTCTCCACTTCCTGCAACCCATAGTGGGATCCGCTACAGAGGTTTGGATGGCACAGTAAAACATTGTTTGCTAAACAACCCCTAAAATGTTTTCTTAGGATGGGGAAAAAAGCCACCTTGCAGCAGGTGGTTTGGGTTCAGTTGACGCGGCACTCCACTGTATCTAGTTACCGATGATAGGTTTTCATGTCGTATGAACAAGATCAGTGTGTTTGTGGATATGGTGTATGTGTGAAACTCTCAACTGTAAGGCCAGAAATGTTCCTTCCATCTTCTACCCATTTGAACCTACAAAGTTCATCATAGAGATTTTTCTCTGTTGTTGTTGTTCGTCGCAAAGTCGTGTCCAACCCATTCCGACCCCATGGACAACATTCCTCCAGGCCTTCCTGTCCTCCACCATCCCCCGGAGTTCACTCAAGCTCACACCAACTGCTTCAGTGACTCCATCTAGCCACCCCATCCTCTGCCGTCCCCTCCTTCTTTTGTCATCCATTGTTCCCAGCATTAGGCTCTTCTCCAGGGAGTCCTTCCTTCTCATTAGGTGGCCAAAGTATTTGAGCTTCATCTTCAGGATCTGGCCTTCTAAAGAGCAGTCAAGGTTGAGTTCCTCTAGGACTGACTGGTTTGATCGCCTTGCGGTCCTAGGGACTTGCAGGAGTCTTCTCCAGCACCGCAATTCAAAGGCCTCAGTTCTTCGGCACCCAGCCTTCCTTATGGTCCAACTTTCACAGCCATTCATTGCAACTGGGAAAACCATAGCCTTGACTATACGCACTTTTGTTGGCAGGGTGATGTCTCTGCTTTTTGTTATGCTGTCTAGATTTGCCATAGCTTTCCTCCCCAGGAGCAAGCGTCTTTTAATTTTTTGGCTGCAGTCCCCATCTGCGGTGATCTTGAAGCCCAGGAAAATAAAATCTGTCACTACCTCCATTTCTTCCCCATCTACTTGCCAGGAAGTGAGAGGACCGGATGCCATGATCTTAGTTTTCTTAACGCTGAGTTTCAAGCCAACTTTTGCGCTCTCCTCCTTCACCCGCATCAAGAGGCTCTTTAGTTCCTCTTCACTTTCTGCCATTAGAGTGGTATCATCTGCATGTCTGAGGTTGTTGATATTTCTCCCAGCAATCTTAATTCTAACTGGTGATTCATCTAGTCCCGCCTTTCTCATGATGTGCTCTGCATATAAGTTAAATTGGCAGGGCGACAGTGTACAGTCTTGCCGAACTCCTTTCCCAGTTTTGAACCAATCAGTGGTTCCGTGTCCAGTTCTCACTGTTGCTTCTTGAGCCGCATATAGGTTTCTCAAGAGACACATAAGATGGTCTGGTATTCCCATCTCTTTAAGAACTTGCCACAATTTGTTGTGATCCACACAATCAAGGCTTTAGCAGTCAATGAAGCAGAAGTAGATGTTTTTCTGGAACTCCCTAGGTTTCTCCATGATCCAGCATATGTTGGCAATTTGGTCTCTAGTTCCTCTCCCTCTTCGAAATCCTGCCTGTACTTCTCGTAGTTCTCAATCCACATACTGCTGGAGCCTAGCTTGTACGATTCTGAGCATAACTTTGCTAGCATGTGAAATGAGTGCAATGGTGCGGTAGTTTGAACATTCTTTGGCATTGCCCTTCTTTGGAATGGGAATGTAACTGACCTTTTCCAATCCTGTGGTCACTGTTGAGTTTTTCAAGTTTGCTGGCATATTGAGTGTAGCACTTTTACTGCATCGTCTTTTAAGATTTTGAATAGCTTAGCCAGAATACTGTCACTTCCACTAGCTTTGTTATTGCTCAGACTTCCTAAGGCCCATTTGACTTCACATTCCAGGATGTCTGGCTCGAGGTCAGTGACCACCCCATAGTGGTTATCAGGGACGTTAAGCTCTTTCTTGTATAGTTCTTCTGTGTAATCCTGCCACCTCTTCTTAATCTCTTCTACCTCTGTTAGATCCCTGCCATTTTGGTCCTTTATCATGCCCATCTTTGCATGAAACGTTCCCATCATATCTCCAATTTTCTTGAAGAGATCTCTGGTCCTCCCTATTCTATTGTTTTCTATTTCTTTGCACTGTTCATTTAAGAAGGCATTCTTATCTCTTCTAGCTATTCTCAGGAATTCTGCATTCAATTGGGTGTATCTTTCTCTTTCTCTCTTGCCTTTTGCTTCCCTTCTTTCCTCAGCTATTTGTAAAGCTTCCTCAGACAGCCATTTTGCTTTCTTACATTTCTTTTTCTTTGGGATGGTTTTTAGTTGCTACCTCTTGTGCAGTGTTGCAAACCTCCGTCCCTAGTTCTTCAGACACTCTGTCTATCAGATCTACTTCCTTAAATCTATTTGTCACCTCTACTGTATATTCATCAGGGATATGATTTAGGTCATACCTGAGTGACCTAGTGCTTTTCCCTACTTTCTTCAATTTAAGCCTAAATTTTGCAACAAGAAACTCATGATCTGAGCCATAGTCAGCTCCTGGTCTAGTTTTTACTGACTGTATAGAGCTTCTCCATCTTTGGCTGCGGAGCACATAGTCAATCTGATTTCTGTGTTGATCGTCTGGTGATGTCCATGTGTAGAGTCATCTCTTGGGTTGTCGGAAAAGAGTGTTTGCTATGACCATTGTATTCTCTTGACAAAATTCTACCAGCCTGTGCCCTGCTTCATTTTGTACTCCAAGGCCAAACTTGCCTGTTATTCTGGTTATCTTTTGGCTTCCTACTTTAGCATTCCAATCCCCCATGATGATAAGGACATCATTTTTGGGTGTTAATTCTAGAAGGTGTTGTAGGCCTTCATAGAACCGGTCAACTTCAGCCTCTTCAGCACCAGTGGTTGGGGCATAGACTTGGACTACTGTGATGTTGAATGGTTTGCCTTGGATTCGAACTGAGATCATTCTGTCATTTTGGAGGTTTTATCCCAGTACTGCTTTTCCTACTCTTTTATTGATCATGAAGGCTATTCCATTTTTTCTGAGGGATTCTTGCCCACAATAGTATACCTGATGGTCTTCTGAATTAATTTCACCCATTCCTGTCCATTTTAGTTCACTGATTCCTAAGATGCCGATGTTCAGTCTTGTCATCTCTTGTTTGACCACATCCAGCTTGCCTTGATTCATGGATTTTACATTCCAGGTTCCTATGGAGTATAGATCTTTGCAGCATTGGACTCTCCTTTCACCACCAGATACATCTGCAACTGAGTGTCCTTTCGGCTTTGACCCAGTCACTTCATTCTTTCTGGCGCTACTAGTACTAGCCTCCGCTCTTCCCCAGTAGCATATTGGACACCTTCCGACCTGAGGGGCTCATCTTCCGACGTCATATCTTTTTGCCTTTAATATGTGTAAATTGTCTTGAGATTTTTATTGATTTGATGGTATGTAAAAACATTAAACAAACACACTGTATACTTGAGCTAAGATTAAAATGCCTGTTGTTGTTGTTGTTAGTTGCGAAGTCATGTCCAACCAATCCCAACCCCATGGACAACATTCCTCCAGGCCTTCCTGTCCTCCACCATCCCCCGGAGTCCACTTAAGCTCACACCAACTGCTTCAGTGACTCCATCTAGCCACCTCATTCTCTGCCGTCCCCTCCTTCTTTTGCCATCTATTGTTCCCAGCATTAGGCTCTTCTCCAGGGAGTCCTTCCTTCTCATTAGGTGGCCAAAGTATTTGAGTTTCATCTAC